GGGGTGGGTGGGGTGGTGGAGGGGTGGGGGGGGGGAGGAGTCAAAATTTCATGCTAGGGCCCGAAACTTCATCATGAAATTTTGACTGAGGAGTCAGATTTCATAATGAAAATCTGACTGGGGTGTCGCCTTTTAGGGGAGTCATATTTCATGGTATACCGGGAAACAAATCAAAACAAGGAGCGCTAATTAAAAATTTTCACAAAAAAATGTTTTTCTACATCAGAACACCTGGTGAACCCCCTGTATTCTTACTAGTGAGGACAGAGGCCCAGTGATTGTGTTTTTCAGTGCCAGGAAACAGAAATCAAAGCAACTAGTACTAGTGCTAATTAAAATTATTCACGGGAGGGGTGTTATTTCCACAAAAAAGGTGTTTGTCTATATCAGGACACCTGGTGAACCCCTGTATTGAATACCTTGTTACTACTGAGGACAGAATCCCAGTGATTTTGTTGTTCAGTGCCAGGAAATAGAAATCAAAACAAGGTGTTCTAATTAAAATTATTCACGGGAGGGGTGTTATTGCCACAAAAAAAATGTTTTTCTATATCAGGGCAATTGGTGAACCCCCTGTATTGAATACCTTGTTACTAGTAAGGATAGAAACCCAGTAATTGTGTTGTTCAGTGCCAGGAAACAGAGATCAAAACAAGGAGTTCTAATTAAAATTATTCACGGGAGGGGTGTTATTTCCATAAAAAAGGGGTTTTTCTATATCAGGACACCTGGTGAACCCCCTGTATTGATTACCTCGTTACTAATGAGGACAGAAGCCCAGTAATTGTGTTGTTCAGTGCTGGGAGGAGATCAATACTCGACGGGGGAACATCTATTGGAAGCTGCGCCCGGAGGAGCTCCACTTTTTTGATCTGTTGTCTGTTGTACCAAATCAGCTCAGCCAAAGCCTCACACCTTGAATGAAACATTGTAACAAAACTCAAACTAACCTGAAATGATACATTGTGGCAGAAATTATACAAAAATAAGAAGAAACTTTGTGACATAAAATGAAAAAACACATGAAATAATACTGCTTATGTCATAACTTGTGAAAACACACAAATCAATACCTTGTGGCATGTAAAAAGATACACAGTGACATAATATGAAAACACATGAAATGATACCATGGAACTTGAGCTCATGTAAAAAAAATAAACATTGTAGCATAACTAAACCACTGACATGGATGACAGAAGAAAGTGCTGATACATGTACAGTAGGAAAACCCTAGACACGTTTCGGAAATTTCTGCCCTTTCATGATTACACGCGACTCTATCAAACTATTAACTACAAACTCCTTACCATGACTGAAGGCTGTCCAGGTTGCCCTCAAAAGAAGCACCATTTCCAGCAAGCTGCTGTCGCCTTTTCCACTCAATCAGTTCATGATCCAATACCTGCTGTTGTGTATTCTGAAGATGTTTGAATGTGTCGTGATGTTTGTCTGCAAGAGCCTGGAAATATCAAAACAATGTATTGATTTCATATATATATATATATATATATATATATATATATATATATATATATATATATATATATATATGGTGTTGTCAATACAGGGGAAATAAATAGAGGCATTGTTATGTTTGCCTGCTGAGCAAGCAGAATAAAATGATATAAAATTTTATAAATGGATATGCATAAACAGAGATTTATTGCAGACACAAAAGTATCGTGTGAAAGACAATGGTGACCACTGAGGTTGAAGTCTCCTGCACCTTTCTGAAACCGCTCTTCTGACATAAAACTAAGATGAAAAGTTATCCTAATCTGACATCGAATCTGTTTTTCCACTTTGTCTAAATCAAAAGCGAAAAAATCATTAACACTGCAAATCTACATGTGAGAAGTGTGTATAATCACAGGTTTACAGTAGTCAGTTAAATGCATAAGTGTTAATCCGAATGACAAGCGTCATCCATCATTTTGGAGTCCATCGATTATTTTAGACCTGTCTTACTAGCCTATCGATTACTTAACACCTGTCTCACCAGTCGTAACTGCAGGAGTTCCTGTGCCTTCCTGCTGAGTTCACACTCAATCCCTTCTTTCTGTCTCTTGAGCCGCATCTCGTGTTCCGTTTTATTAGGCGTGTTGGGTTGACTGACCACCTGTTGTAGTTGGGCTGAAGTAATTGATAAATCGTTCATTTTACTTTCCTCAAGACATATCTGGGTAAACTAGCTAACTTTAAATCTGTTTTTAAGGACACGTCAGTTAATTTTAATCAGACCAGCATCATTAATGTTCAAATCTGCTTATAAATATTTTTCATCTCCATGTAAATGACACGACGCCTTTAATTACATCAATTCATGTATAAATTGATAAAAATGAGTGCTAATAAACAATGGCAAGTAAGAACACCCTCTTTCAATGGCCACATAATTTACTTTCTGGGCAATTATTAAAGGAAGCAGGAGCTCATTCAAAGATTTCTACTGAAACATTAAAAAACATGGCATGCTAAGAGAAGGGTTGGTGTCATCAAAAGATTAAAAAAAAAAAGAACAAAAAACAATCCATTTGAGCTGGAAGCTTAGTGACAACTGAAATATCACATGGACAGAACCAATATGAGGGTATTAAATGGCCGTGAACAAGTGTGTGTGTGTGTGTGTGTGTGTGTGTGTGTGAGAGAGAGAGAGAGAGAGAGAGAAAAATGCTGCACTCACAGTTAATTTTCACACTGTCTTGATACTGGATAATGAAGGATTCCTGCTTGTGTTGCAGCTGCTTCAATTCATTATCTGTCTCCTGTGAAATCAATATTCACATATTACATTCCCATACATGCACAGTACTTACTTTGGGCTTTTTATGTTGGGGTACTTAATGCATGTCTGGAGTCATTAATATATAAGTGCATTTGTGCTCAAAAATCTGAATATCATTTATGAGGCCTTCAAGAGCACAAACCTCCATCCTTGCAAGAGCCCAAACCTTAGTCAAGGCAAAACTGAAAATATAAATTAAATAAACAATTTTTCAAAAGGATCCTCAGATTCATCTGAAGTAGCAATTACATGTACTTCTTTCCCTCCTGAATAACTGTCTATCCTGAAAGATAGAGATGGTAAGTTTTATGCCAATTAAAAAACACCTGTGCTTTGCTTTCCAAATGAGCTTGGACTTTTGGAAAAAAATTCTGAAAAATTAACAACTATTGGACAGGGATCGGGGGGAGGGGGGCACCTTTAATTAAAAATCACTGAATCACTGGAATTCTTTGAAAAAAAGGTCTTACTTGTTTACAATACTTTGTCAATTCATATTATATGTACCTGTGTTCTTTTTTGCAAGAATTCCAGCTGCTGTGATGTGATTCTGTGCTTGTCTTGCTGTCCTTGTAGGTCCCCAAGCCCTGATGCCGCCTGGTGACAAATACAGACAGACTGAGTTATGATAATCACCACCAAAAAAACATCCTTAACAAATAAACAAAATTATAACAAAAGTTCTAAAAGACTGATGTATTCTGCAAACACCGATTAATCAAAATGTCAGACAGTCTTCTGGTAAATACTGCCATCTAAAATTGCACACTAAAAAGAATCCTTCTACAGCAAAAAAATAAAATACAATAAAATAATAATCTAATTCATTAAGATACAATTATTTAAGAGGATAAGAAGAACTAAGAAAAATTCAACAGAAGTTTGAAAGTAAATATTCCAGTTACTGAAAACAATTGCAAATTGCATGAAAAAATAATTTTGAAACATTTGTTTTTTCTCAAAAGGCCATTTTAGACCAGTAGCAGAGGCATCACATTCTGTGGTTCTTACGTTCTCGGCCTGTGCCACCATCTTCATCTCTGTATTAATACAATTCTTTACCACACGGACAAGATTCAGAGGACTGTTACCATACATTTCCTGAAAGAATCCAAAAACAATAAGTTTAAGATCACCGAGATTCAAAATAACAAGTTTATAAACTATATACCTTAATATGTGAGATTTCACCTTTTTTGGCAAATATTTTCATCAGATGGTGCCAAAATGGATTTCATTTTTTGGTTGATTAGGCTGTATCAAATTACTGACAAATTTATTAGTTTACATTATGAACTGTTCTTTTTCTATTCATACATTCATATTTCTTTTTTCTCAACACTAATGAAAAACTGGCAGCAGAACAAATACACAATAAAACACAATACATTTGGTAAAAAAAAAATAGACAGCCTAAAAGCTGTTTTGGTTTTGAATTCTCCGAAAAATGCATTCAATTGATTTCATACAATGAGCTTAACATAGACATCAATCCATATGTTTTTTTTTCCCAAAAACAATTCGACCAATCTGATACAATTACATGTATATCTACATACTGCTACAGTATTGTAATAAATCACATTTGACATCCTCTTCCGCAAAAAGCATTTTTATTGTCAAATAGACATTAAACTACAACAAATGGCTGTTGTAATTGCAGATGAGAAAACCATTCAATTTTCACCCTAATGGAGAGGATGGATTTCACTCTTGGGAATTAATTGGAGGAATATTCCCAGGATGAATGATCAGGATTTTTGGCAGATCTTCCCTGTCAGCAATTTTAAAGCAATGTGCAATACAAATACAATCAACCCAATTTTAGGCAAAATTCCAGTTAAACCAAACACAAGTTCCCATCAATATTTCGTTTCTCACTGTATTAAAGGCACACTCCATGAGATTTACCCGCCAAAATGGATTTGCCAGAGAAAATAAGCAATTTTCTCGTTCTCACAAATCATTTAACTATCCTTTTCTGCACTTGGATTTGACCTTTAATAAATATGATAAAGGTTGAATTAAGCTTAAAGTGACTGGCCGGTGTAACAGCAACCATTTTCCAGCAACCAAGTTCAACAGAAGGCATGCTCCCGAAAAAAATATTAAAGGGGTTAAATCATTTTTAACCTGTATGTAAGGTTTTATAAGAAGCTGTGGATGGCAAAAATAAGCATTTTGAGGATTTTCAAACCTACGGTGTGTACCTTTAGTACATACTTTGGACCATCTGAAAGTTTTCAACATTTACCCGAAACTGTGCAGCCGTTTCCTGTAGCCTCATCTTCACCAAGAACATGTCCTCGCTGCTCATCTCCGTCGCTTTCTCTTCAATCTGACGGATGAGATGCTCTAATATGGTTTGGGCTGCAGGCTCGTGTTGTATGTTGTCCTCATCGAATTCATTCCTGTAATATATAGTAGTAATTACTACATCTTTTTATACATATTTATCATCATTATCAATTTATCATTGTTTTGAAGATTTTAAAACAGTTTTAAATAAAAAGATATTTTTAAGTTGAAAGGAGAGAAACTATTTTTGCTATTCTGATATTTATTTTCAACAAATGAATTCCTTAAAACAGTTGACTGAAAAAATAGTGCTGTTATATGTCAAACACAATGTATGTCATTACAGTAAACAAAGGGGAAAAAAGAAAGTGTTCTAGTACATATGCAGAGAGAGAGAGAGAGAGAGAGAGAGAGAGAGAGAGAGAGAGAGAGAGGTCATAATATATAATATCAACCCATTCTAAAAAAAAATAAAATGAAGTAGAAGAAAAACTCCTCTGAAAAAAAAATGGATTCACCTAAAAGTACCAAAACAAATAAATTAATAATAATAATAACAAGAAAAAAATGATGAAGATTCAGAATGGGAGCAAATAAAGCTTTAAGTTACTTAAATATGTTAGGCTTGAAAAATCGTGTGACATTTCTTGTACCCAGTTTGAACATTTTTCCTGCTCTGATAGACAATATATTAACCCATACTTCAAAAGTGAAATCTAAGCCACCATTTTCTATTATACCTAAAGATTGACTCTATTATCAGGGCTGTCACTGTCTTCTTTAACAAATTACTTAAGCACTGTCTCATCCAAAAAAGAATTCTTTGGAATCTTATTGATTTTTTCTCCTGTTCATATATAGAAATCACCAAGCAGACGTTCGGCGCAGCATGACCTGAACTTATCCTGCTTTTCCATTGCATTGATGCCTACTTGTCGAAAAAAAATTCTACACTGGTTTCACTGGAAATTACCAAGAAAAATTACGCAATCTTCATTTCATCGAGATGAGAGTTTCACGTGAAGATACATCCTTCTAAAAAATGCATTATCAGCAGGTGCTCCATGAGCAAACTGATTATTTCAGTGTACTGTAAAGCAATAAGGCTGTTATCTGCAACTTGAAGATCTCGGCAAAATATTTGCATTAGGTTAAACTGCATTTGGTTTGGGAGCTTATACTGTAAGATACCTGTGCTTCAGCATCCATGCAACTTGTAAACTGATTGTAAAATGTAGACAAAATGTAATTTAAAAAATAATAAATTAAAGCAACACTAGCACCACTACCAGCAACGGTAGCATGTACAGAGTTGTAAATGTACGACAAAAATATCAAACAAAAGGATACAAGAATTCTGAGCCCCGTCACTTGAAAGCATTGTGCATTGCAATTAAACGCAAGCGTCTCGATTCCATAACTCGCCCCATGTAATACATTGCAGCCTCTAAGTGATATTGCTATTCACATTACCCGATGCTTTCGAGTTACGAAGCTCAGGACAAAATGAGCAAGTTAGTAGGTTATTTATCCATTTATATTATTTGTATAACTCACAGCTGACTAAGCCTCTAATTCCCTTTTCAATATCTGATTTTTAATGAACTATTCAGTGAGGACCAGATTGACGTAGTTGTAATTTCATATGTAGCAACCTGCTAATAAGCTGCACTTTTTAATGCTCAATAAGTATCATATCAAAAATTCAGTGATTTCACATTTACTAGTATTCCAATCTTTTTCCAGGCCTTCTAAAATTCAGAGAAATCTACAGTGAGAAATACCATTAAGTTATAATTTGGTATAGTTTAAATGTTTTTTTTTCCACTTTCACCTCTCTCCCCCCCTCCCCCTTACAGGTTTAACCCATCTCATGTTGCCTCTATCTCTAAGAATCTCCTTACAAAAAAAAAAAAAAAAAAAAAAAATTTCTAGTCAGGTCTGGTCTGGTATCAAACTAACAAAATGATTCCTCTAAAAATTCTTTAATAAATATATCTATTCATAAATCTTAGCCTTAAAAGGGGTTTTAAATCTCATACAAGTACGCATACAGACAGACAGAACGACAGACAGCGCTCTTCAGAATTTTTTTTCTGACCAGTGGCACATCCCTACTGAGAGATTCTACCAACCCTCCTACAATATAACTCCTTTAACTTTATCTAATAATGGCTTTCTTCACTTTGTGATGGAATCAAGAGTTCTCCCACGTGAAAATCTAATTTGAAAGAGACAATTAGTTTGCTGCGGCAATTCTTCTTACATGGAGTGATGCAAGAGGACACCAGTAACATTTAAAAGCTAAAAAAAAAAAAAAAAAGGCTTCAAATGTACAAAACCCCTGGATTCAATCACAATACTGTGTCTCTTTAAGTGAGATGAATTATGTGCCTACTCAGGTATATATACAATTTGTGATTGGTTTGCAATGCCAAGGATATTGCTAGCTCCCTGGAAAATAATGGAGTTGCCTTGATTTCCTTGGCTCTATTCCCATTGATTTTAGATCGATCTATCCCCGCGGGGAGTCTCACTAGATTACTTTCAGATAATCCGACTTAAATGTCCGTCCCGCCTACTACAAGCTGTAAGGAGGTAATTAACTTTCGTGTCTGCCCGACTGACAGCTATTTAGCGTGAACCCCCAGGGAGTTAGGTCGATCTAAAGTAGGTCGATCTAATCTATGGAAATGGGGTGCTTGAGTGAGTTGACTAGGAGCTCTATCCAAGGTGAAGTCCAGGTGTACTGTAATAGTCGGAAATCGTGTGTGAGTGTGCTTATGCATGCAAGCTCGTGTGCTTCTGATTGTAGTGAACGCGTGTATGCACATCTTTCCTGACTGTACATGTTTACATGTATACTAGTATGTATTTATGAGAATGCACACGTGTACATGTGCATGTACTAGTACTTACATTGAGTGCATCAACAGGCCCGTAGCCAGCAATTTCAAAAGGGGGGTTCTTTTTCTGAAAAAGTGGACCTTTTCCCATAAAAACGTCATGTACTCAGATCAAATTTTACCCAGAGTGGACCTTTTCCCAGCAAAAGGGGCGGTTCTTTCGAACCCCCCGAACCCCCCCTGGCTACGGGCCTGATCAATGACTGTTATGTACTGCAATGCTCAGGATGGTGTATATATGCAAGTGCCCATGTGTGTGTTCAAGTGCTTCTTACAAAGTCATAAAAATGCTTTGACATGTCTGCTTCTATCCTAATAAACAGACAGGAGCCCATAAATGTTTTTATCGCTGGAGTAAACTTCTAGTTATTTTCGAAGAATAAATGAATAGGAAACCACCTCAAAGAGAGCATCAGATCCTTATAATTCTTTATCAGTCTACATAATCAATGTCAAGTCTTTTCATCGTAATCTCTTCACTCGGTTGTCTTCGTCTGATGCTTAATGTATTAGCAAAGAACTAGACAGGTAATCCATTTATTGGCAAGAGGATGACTGCATATATATACAAGTGTGCAACATGTCAACTCTTTACAACTGCATATACACATAAGAAATCTGGACATAGAGGTGCTTTGACATTATTACAAAATAACAAAATTTCACACCTTTTTTTTGGTAAATAAATATGTAACTGCTTGCTAGAGAAAAATCATGACTTCAAGCTAAAAATAACAACAATCTCAACAACGGTATCTACTATCAAGTCCCATCTTAAAAGAATGAAAATATTACAAGGTTGCCTGGAAAATTGTCCCTGGGACGTCCTACTATCTACATACAAATCACATTACCTTATGCTATCCAAATCAATGAAATAAAATCTGAACTACATTTTTTTCCATGAAACACCTGTCTAGACAGTTGTAAATGGATATCATTATGATAGTAGCAGAAGCTCAGGTTGTCTAGTACTGTTACAAAAAATCATACAAGATTCATTCCTATCTAGCAGTCCTAAGTCCATTCAGTGCATAAAATACTGGGCGCTGTTAGACTATATATAAACTAGAGGATCAGAGAGGCGATACCGCCTCCAGATATTGTACCACCAGCTGGAGTAAGCGCCACTACCACCACCACCTCTACCAGTGCTGTGCTTGACAAACTCTACAAACTGCAAAGAACCAGTTCTCAAAATTTGCCAAAAGAATTAAAATAAAAACTGCATGACGTTTGTAAAAATGGTTAGATCAAGGCCATTTTCATACTTAACCCGTATATTCATAACATTAATTACTCCTGTGATTTTCAAGACAATGGGCCTATTCGTTTTCCTTGAAATTTTTTATCAGTGTTGCACATATGCTAAAAAAGGGGAAAAACAGCGTAATTTTTGAAAAAATGGCCTGATCATGCTCAATTTTAAACTGTATTTTACAAATAAACATCAGTTCCATAAGATTGAAGACAGAAGACAAAACCGTTTTCCACTTAATGTGTTATCACTGAAAGTGCATGGCGATGGCATGAATTTGATATATACATAATCCAAGGTTGCAGTATGATTGTGAGTACAAGAGTTTTAATTGAACTTAAATTATAATAAATATAATAGATTGAAACTGCAAATATTTGGCTTCCTTTTCAATTGTAATAGTAGCTCTTGTTGCATCACCCCTAAGCAACAAAGAAGTGTTCTTTGTCCTTTTAAACTCCTCCCTTTCTATGTGACAAATCTGAAAAAAGTGATGCATATACTTAAAATGGGAGATTCGACAGCCAAGTCAGTAGGAGATTTGAGAGCTGAGTCAGTAAAATTAAATCACTTTTACCTCAGCCTCGTACCTGAGGGTTTAAAGTTACACTTCAGGTGTGTTTTAATACCTTCAGGCATATTTTGTCAAAAACTACACCAATTAATATCTTTATCTCAGGTTATGTTTATTTGTTACAGGGTACTTTGTTTATTAATGAGAGTTAGTCATACATGATCATGCAACCATACAATTAATGGTAATAATGTCTGTTGTTAGTTGCATTAATTATACTATGACTGTCACATTGTGTCTTATCTAAAACATCTGAAAGTTTAATTTTCATATCACACTGGGAAGACATAACTGTAGTTTCCTACTGGACATAGTGTCTGCTGAAGTGACACTTTACATATGTNACTCGATCCACTGAGCAAAGTAA